TGTGTGTGTGTGTATTTGTGTGTGTTTGTGTGTGTGTGTGTGTATTTGTGTGTATTTGGTGTGTGTGTGTGTATTTTGTATGTGTGTGTGCATTTGTGTGTGTTTGTATGTGTGTGTATTTGAGTGTGTGTGTGTGTGTGTGTGTGTGCGCGCGCGCGCATGTGTGTGTGTGTATTTGTGTGCTTGTGTGTATTTGTGTGCGTGTATTTGTGTGCTTGTGTGTGTATTTGTGTGCGTGTGTGTGTATTTGTGTGCGTGTGTATTTGTATTTGTGTTTGTGTGTCTATGAGATAATGTGGGAGAGAGTGAGTGTGAGAGTATGAGTGAGACCGTGTGTGTGTGCGTGTGTGTGACTGTGTGTGTGTTTGTGAGTGAGAGTGTGAATGTGAGTGTGAAAGTGTGAGAGACATTGGATGTGTGTGAGTGTAAATGTGTGCATAAAAAAGCATGTGTGTGCATGAGTGTGTGTGTGTATGACAGTGTGTGCGCGAGAGAGAAAGTGTATGTAAGTGTGTGCATGAGAGAGTGTGTGTATTCTTTTAACGCGATTGCACTGAAGTCAGTATGAAAAAAGATGATTTTGATTTTAATTGGGAAATTGCTCTGGTTACCATCTTGCTGGGAGCTTTCAAGGAAAGAAGAGGTTAATGAAGAGACATGTTTCATTAATGCAGTCGGCTGTTATCTGGAACTCTCAACCTGATGAAAAAGTAGGTGGAAGTAGATTCAACAGTAGCTATAAAAAGGAAATTAGGGAGTTACTTTAGAAGGAAAATCCTGGGGGGTGCTGTGGCTTCAGCAAGAGGAAATGGGATCAGTTGGATTACTCTTTCAAAAGAGCCAGAACCACCTTGATAGGCCAAAAGATCTCCTTTTGTGCGGTATCAATTTATGATTCATTGAGAGGTGTTTCACATGAACTTTCTTCCAGGTTTGAGTCACATACATGGCTAAGAAAGTATCAGCACTCCCTCAGGCCGATCCTGACGAATATCACACCAGACGAGGAGTTTTTACGTGACCTCTAACACAGTTTTTAATCTGGGAAACACTGAGCAAGGAGAGCTGATGCCTAACAGTTTGTAGAGGGATGTGGAGCCTTGTCCACACTGCAGACCAGGCCTCAAGGCACAAAGAGAGTGAATAAAAGCACTGAATATATAACCCACCTTTCAGAGCCTCAAACTCCCCCAGAGCACTTTAGGCCATGAAATATTCCTTTGAAGAAGAGTAGTCACGACAACCACTCTGTGCACAGCAAGTTTCAACAAGATAAATGACCAGATTGTCTATTTTTTAGTGCTGTCGGTTGAGGGGTAAATATTGGCCAGGACTCCAGGGAACATATGTGTTTAGATCTCTGCCCCAATAACGACTAAACAAACAGCCATTGGAAGGGCTGCCTCTGTCAGGACTCTCTGGAGAAGACTGATTGGAACCATCACGATCAAAACCTTTCACAGACTTCAATTCCATCTGTTACAAATTTGATTTTGAAAGTCATTATTCACTCTTTGGTGTGGTTTCTGCTTCCAGGCCAGGAGCTGGTGGTGAGGGTATTACACTGACTCTCCAATGAGTCTCCCAGCCCCAGCTTTACAGTGGATCCCAAAAGCTCGAAAGAATTTGGCCGATGGCTCAGCCGTAACCAATTATTGCCTATTTATTGAGTTTACAGCTGAGCATGAAACACATGTAGGAAATTTGGCTCGGGCATCAAGAGGAGGCAAAGTCATTTAAGGAGACAGGCGATTCACATTTCGTGAGCAAAGTCACAAAAAGTCTACACACAGGAATGGGTCACTCAACACAACGGGTCTAAATGCTGCACATAAGCCTCCTTTTGTTCCTCTTCCATCTAACTCTGATAGCATAAACTTGCATTCCAATAATCATTTGGTAATACAGAAGCTGAGCATTGCTGAAAAGGACACATTTTGTTGAAGCTTTTTGACTTGCGTTCATCAGGACAATTCACAAGAATACCAATTCAGTTCAGAGGAAGGGTCACTCAACCCGAAACATTAACTTTGATTTCTTTCCACAGATGCTGTCAGATCTGCTGAGCTTTCCCAGCAATTTCTATTTTTGTCTTTGATTTACAGCATCCGCAGTTCGTTTGATTTTTATTTCACAAGAATACCAATTTAATGCGAGCACCAATTTATACTGTATGAGAGGAGAGTGACAGTTGGTCAGCAAGAGCATTCTGGGAGAGGCGATACATGGAGAATGTACACAGAGTCCACTTGCCAACCAATCACGCTCTTCTCTTAAAGAATATAAAATTGTTGGTTTCCCGTTCAATTTGTTTTCTTGTGAAATGCCCTGATGAGGGTAAGATGAAAAGCTTTGGCAAAATGTGCACTTTTCCAGCAATAAACTTGTATTCGTTTCTCCCTTGGGTGTTTATGCACCTTTGCCTTAAATGCTATTCACCCTAATTCCTTACAACACTGTATTTCTTATCACAACAGCCTCCACGCATCTACTCTATCAAACCCAAATTACCTTGAGGGCCTTTACCCAATTACCCTTTTATTCGCCATTGTAAAGAACTCCAGCCTGTTTAAGCTTTTATTTTGAACAGTGTGCCCTTTTAGCACTTTTTCCAAAGTCTCAAAATCCTTTTGATAAAACGAGCACCAGAACTAGTGACAGTCATACAGAAAGCTGGCTGCAAGGTAAATTTATGCTGCAAGAAAATAGAAAAAAGGGCCGATGGGTTCTGGAACAGGATGGCAGAGAGTGTCAGAAAGTGGAGAATGAAACCCCCAAGAGTTTGAGGCCTCATGAGACACGGATTAATCGAAATCCCAGCCCATGAGGTGCTCCCTTAGCCTGTTGAGGATGTGCTAGCGTTAGCTCACAGCCAGGTCTATCTGAACTAATCTCATATCCTTGACCTTCCTCAACATCTTCATCTTCTCCCTTTACAAATGTCTATGCAATTCTTTGTCTCTGTTTCATCAGCAACTTGTTGATATTACCACAATTTTGCGTGGGAGATTAAATACAATTTTGGATTGACTCTTCTGGGGTTATTTGGGAGTTTAGACAACAGAAGAGGTTCACAATGGGACTGACAGCAATTAGACAGAGCAGAACAGCTGTATGAGTCTTGCAGAGTGGAGAGAGTACAGGAGGTCACACCGTGGGTACTGATACAGATTAATAGGACCATAAAAACTCTGCAGTTAATTTGTGTTGTGATTGAACTGAAAAGCAAAGTAGTTATTTAAATTTGTATAGAACCTCAGTCAGACCACATGCAGAATGCTGTGAATCATTCTAGTCTTTAACTAATGAAAAAGATATGGAGAAAGTGCAAGAAAAATTGATTGGAATGATCCCAGAACTCACGGGCTATATCAATCAGGAAGGATTGAAAAGTCTACTGGATCATTTCTCTAAATAAGAGGAAATGGGGAGGGGTATGCGGGGAGGGGTCCTGATAGAGGTTATGAAAGGGTTTGCTGGGGAAAGCAAAGAGTCAGTGCTCCAACACATAGAGAAAATCAGAAACTGGGGGCATAAATATAACTTTGTCACAATATGGAGTTCAGGAGAAGCCTCTTTAACAAAAAGAGTGGTCAGGATGTGGAACTTGCTATGACAAGGAGTGATTAATACAAGAATGCTTTGCAGGAGCCCTCACCGGTGTTACTTGCCCGCTTTCACATAAACCCTCACTCCCTTCCCCTCCCCAACACTGAGAAACTAAGGCTGACGACAGAATCAGTGAACATCAGTTAACACAACACAGGCCAGAAGCTGAGTAACCTCAAGCAAAGGAGCAGGACTAAAGCAGAAGTTGCTGGAAACTCAGCAGGTCTGGCAGCATCTGTGAAGAAAAAATCAGAGTTAATGTGTCAGGCCTCAGTTCTGAGGAAGGGTCACTGGACCCGAAACGTTAACTCTGATTAATTTCTTCACAGATGCTGCCAGACCTACAGAGCTTTTCCAGCAACTTCTGTTTTTGCTCCTGATTTACAGCATCCTCAGTTTTTTCGGTTCTTATTGAGCTGGACTAAATGCTTGTCTTTCCTTTAAAAAAAACCTCTTGAAATTGGTTACAGTGCCTTCGAGGTAACTTTAAAACAATACCATCAAATGTTTAGTGCAACTGAATAAATTACAAAACAGTTGTGTTTTTTGACTACAGTACAAACTACATTTGTGATTATACTTCACAAATTTGGAAAAAATTTCCACCTCATCAATTTAGGAAATTACACTTCTCTAAAATATTAACCGTCTCTCAGTCATTCAGAACGTTAGTTCCTTCCTTAAAAAAAGGAATGACAAGTTGCTGAAACTTTTTTTGTCATGCACTCATCAGGACAAAAGCAAGAATGTCAAACTTCAAACAAGCACAACGATTTATAATCGAGAAGAAAAGGGTGCCATCTGGTTGTCAAGTCAACTTTGATTGGTCAAAGTGTTGCCGAGGAGATGCTATAGGCTCCCCAGGCTCCAGGGTAATTCAAATCAAAAGGCGCAGGCTTAAACATATTATTAGCTTTGGCCAATCAAATTCAAAATGCCAACCAATCAGCACACCCTTCCTGTGCACTACACATTGTTGTGACTGTTTGAAATTCTTACATTTGTCCCGATGACTGCAAGATGAACACTTTCAGCTATGTGTCTCTCTTTCCAGCAATAAAATAAACGACTGCTGAAGTAAAATAATGTATCGTCAATCCATGTGTTTACACGGAGGGGGTTGGAGAGCTAGGGGGAGCCTGGGAACACTGGCCTCACCTGACAGGTACATTTGGTACAGCTGTCCACGGTCCATTCCTCCTCATTGTCAAAGAGACGCCCACTGTGCCAGCACTGTCCTGGTGGCACCTTCTTTAAAGTGTCATCTAGAATATCACGAATGATTACATTTTCTTCAGTCTGCAAAAATAAAAGGATTTCCAGACAAAGTAATGTTTCTGTGCCGTCAAATTAGATCCGTATTTAGTATTGCTTTCTCACAACACTGTTACAGTGTGCTATACTCCCCGATGCTACTCCCTACGTTACAGCTGTGGTTAATATTTATCATATCCATTACAGGTTGAACATAAAGGTTCATAGTTTTCATAGTTTCCAGTGCCACCAACCCCGCCTCCCCCCCACCCTCAACCATAGTTTACTTCATCAGAAATTCACCAAAGATCCTTGGGCAGCACCTTCCAAACCCAAAAGAACACTACCATCAAAACAAGAAGGGCAGAAGATACATGGAAACATCTCCCTTCTGTAAGTTCCTCTCCCAACCACTCACCATCCTGACTTGGAAATATATCGCCATTCCTTCACTGTCGCTGGGTCAAAATCCTGGAATTCCCTCCCTAAAGGCATTGTGGGTCGACCCATAGCAGGAGGACTGCAGCGGTTCAAGAAGGCAGCTCACCACCACCTTCTCAAGGGGCAATTAGGGACGGGCAATAAATGCTGGGCTCAGCCAGCGACGCCCACATCTCATGACTGAATAAAACAAAAACGCTGGCTGAAGGGGTTTAGACAGTTGCCCCTTCTGGCAGCTGTCTCTAGCCCTAATGTGTCCCCTCGCTCTTGGTCCTGCAAAATAAACGGGAAGGTGCACTGATACATACCACTTTGACCAGACCGTCTGCCAGCTTGCTAACCAGGACCCTCAATCCATGTAGCTCCTTGAACATGTTTCCGATGTCACTGCAGGAGTGGTCGCAGAAATCCACGACTTTGTTGGTTTTGTGCCCGATGAAATCGGTCTTAATGGCAGGGCTAACCCCGGCAAATTCTTGGTTTTCTTTGCTGCTCGTTGCCTCAGCTGTTCCAGGAAAGAAAGAACAACAGGATCAACACACATCGCACTGGAGTAGTCTGGTGGGACACACTGAGGAGAATCAAGGCAGGCAATAAATGCTGGGCCGGCCAATGACGCCCATGTCCCACAAGAGAATTGAAAAACAAAGTACGGCACGAGTCGCATTAACATTTTGGAGACAGCAGCTCGAATCCGGTAGCTTGGGGGGAGTTTAAATTCAATGAATGAACATCTGGAATAAAATGCTGCTCTCATTGAGAATGGTCATAAAACTGCTGGATACTTGTAAAACGCTGATCTGGTTCACTAATCCTTCAGCAAAGGAAATCTGTTGTCCATATCAGATATGGAAGGACCTGGGGGTCAGTTAATTCAGCTGTAGAATGACTGCCAACTGAATGGGTTCAATTCATTTTACTGATGGAGGTTACCGTGATGTACCTCTCGTGGTGTAACCACTGCTGTCAGTTTTCTCTCTTTAATAAAAGAGTGGTCCTCTAGAAGTAAGGCAACTTTACCTTTCATGTTATAGGCCAGTCTGTGACTCTCAACCAGCAGCATTGAAGCTAACCCTGAAACGGCCTAGCAAGTCACTCAGCCGTATTCTACTGGTACAGAAAGCTGTATGGGTGTGTGTGTCTATGCCACGTGGATTGCAGGATTTATGAAGGCATCTTACCGTGACAATTTCTAGCAATGGGCAATAGTTTTTCCCTTTGTTCTTACATGGGATGTGGGCATCACTGGCAGTGGGCAGCACTTTCTTGTCCATTCCTAACTGCCCTTTCAGAGGGCAGTTCAGAGTCTGAAGTCATATGTCAGCCAGACCAGGGAACGACAGCAGATTTCTGCACCAGATGGGTATTTGACAGCATCAGTAATGCCATGGCCATTATTACCGAGATTAGCTTTATAATTGCAGAATTACTAACTGAATTCCAGCAGCTGCCACGATGGGATTTAAACCCATGACCCCAGAGAGTTAGACTGGGTCAATGGATTACTAGGGTCACTGGTATGACTGCACCACCACGACCCCATTACCACATTCCAAGGGTGAACTTAAAAAGAAACTCAAAATGGCTACCCAACAACAGTTGCTAATGCGTTTCCTTGCAGTTGCCAAAGTGATTGGTTTTTATGGAGCACATTCGGGGAACGAATCGGCAGAATTTTAATGGACTCAGCACACTGAATCTATTGCCAGTGAGGGCAGCGGAAATCAAAACTGCCAACTTTACAAATACAATTCTCGCATTAGGAGGAGACTCATTAGGGACCAGATTCCAGAGTCAGCATACATGCAAAGTAAATCACTGTGGGGGAACTGGAAAGTACAATAATGAAGGAAAAACGATGGCAGATGCATTTTCGGAAGCACAGCCCAGATGTGAAGACTACAGCACTGCCAACGGTTGGAAACTCAACACACACCATCCTTTCGACACTTCAGTCTCCTTGCTAAATCCGAAATATTGCCGTTGACAAAATATTACATTATTACTGCTAAGCTCCCTCAGACAGAAGTAAAACCACCAAACCATGCCGTCAATATCCTTATATATGCTGCTAAGAATATTATTTTTGAGTCACTTCCATTCATGAATGAAAATGAAACCAGGAGACACAAAAAGGATCGGAGAAACCAAACCAGCGCAGCCTGTCGAGAAAGATTTCAGGTCTCCCCAGCAAGGCATTCAACTCTCTCTTTCACAAAATGTCAGTTTCTTCTCTCCATTATCCCTACCTTGGAGTTCATTCACTCCTGCCGCACTACTGATGGAGTGCTGTCTCATCCGAGGTGCTGTCGCTTGGTTGAGATGGGTTACAGTCAGACCCTATTTGCTGTCTCAGGATTTCACTGCAATACTTGGTTCAGAATAGAAGGATTCTCCTTGCGGTCGTGGTCCAACATTTGAACCTCATCCTACAATCGCTGAGGAACAGCTGATCTAGTTACTATCGCATTGCTGTCTGTGGGAGCTTACTCTGCACCAATTGGGCTGCTGTGCTTTACAATAGTGAGTGCACGGCAACTGAACATTCTACGAGCTGAAAAGGGTTTTTGGGATGGTCGAGAGGTGGCGGAATATAAATGCAAGTCTTGTGCTGTTATTTTCTCATTATCCTTTGATGTGTGGTACAAGATGTTACAATAATAGTGAACTCCACCACATCCCTGCTTGTCCCGACAGGATTATGGAGCAAATTCCAACCAGCTAAATGGAAAAACATGTGGCCTAGTACACATCCTGATTCTTAATGAACCATGCATGCCAAGTTGATAGCTTTAAGGCAAGGTACAAGTAAAAGGCTAATTGAACATTGAAAGAAATGCAGATGCTGAAAATCAGATACAAAAATGGTAATTGCTGGTAAAGCTCAGCAGGTCTGGCAGCATCTGTGGCAAGAAATCAGAGCTAACGTTTCAGGTCACTCGACCCGAAACGTTAACTCTGATTTCTCTCCACAGATGCTGCCAGACCTGCTGTGCTTTTCCAGCAATTTCTGGGTTTTTTTCTATAAATAAAAGGCTGACTTATTACGGAAGAACTGTGCTCCACTCTGGACCTGTTAGTAGACAGAGAGATTGGGTAAGAAGCCACTTTCTTATCTGTATAGACAGGGTGGGGGGACTGTCTGTGTTACCAGATACAGAACCAGGGGGCTCCAGCATCAAGCTTTAGATCGAGTGTAAAAAGACAAGGTCTCAAAATGCCCACTAACAATGGGTTGGTCCAGCTGCAGGTGAGTGTCCTGGTCGGTTCACATTTGCCTTTCAAGCAGCTAAATAATTCCCAGGAATGGTGATGCAGATAGTGTACTGACACCAATGTAGAAAGGCCTAAACGTGGGATAATACCATGTCTGTCAGCTATGGTTCCATTGGTAGCACTCTTATGTTGGAGTCAAAGCATCGTGGGTACAAATCCCACTCCAGGGCTTCCAACCCCCTGCACCTACTCCACCATCTGATAAGATGGTGGCTGATCTGCTTATGGTCTTGACTCCACTTTCCTGTCTGACCCCACAACCGTCAACTCCAGATTCCTGACTTAGAACACAGCCAAATATGAAAAACTGGTCATGATTTTCCCCTTCGGGAGAATCTGAGTCAAACTACTGTCTTAGCGAATGGCCATTACTGCTCATTAATTAGGCAGCATCGATAGTACATGCAAACACTGAGCAACAACTTGGCATTAATTCAGTCAACGCACACCCCATCTCACATCTGTTTTCAAACGTCTCCTTTATCATTGGGCCTTAGCTCACAAATAATTCTGCTCAGGTTGGTTGGCTCAGTTGGTTTGCAATGCAGAACGATGCCAACAGTGTGGGTCCAATTCCCATGCCAGCTGAGATTACTATCAAGGAATCCCCTTCTCAACCTCTCCCCTTGCCTGAGGTGTGCTGATCCTCAGGTTAAACCACCACTCGTCATCTCTCTCGCTAATGAGTGAGCAGCCTTATGGTCTAATAGGACTGTGGTGACAACTTGTTGTGGCCCAGCTGTCACACTAAGTGATATTTCTGCCTCAGTGGGCAGTAGAAGCCCAGGCTGCCCGATAATTTGCTAACCCACTCAAATTTTCACAGCTCACTGAATTAATCCTTGGAGTTACAACCATTTAACCAGCTTGGCACAGCCTTCCAATGTGCCATTAATGAGTGATACTGATACCTGCTGAATGTACAGGATGAATTGACAACTGTGCACGTTTCATGTCAGGGTAACATTATTTATTCATTTAGCTAAGCAAGAACCAAATGATAGTTTCCCCCTTTGCTCAGCTTAAAGAGATTAGTCTGCGCTGGGATATACAAAGGGAGATAATGGCCTAGTGTTTTTATCACTTGTTTATTAATTCAGAGACCAGTTAACGTTCCAGGATTAAGAGCCAAATGATTACCAATATTATGGACAATATTATCAAAATGATATGTTGTCAGAATCCCATTTACAAGCAGTACCCAATTAATGCATGTTCGACTCTGTCAACCTAACAAACGAGATCTTGTATTAAAAATCATTTTAGGGATCCAATGTGTGAAGAATGATTACAACCTGCCATTTTATACTAGATTGTGTTCTGATGGGTTTTCAAATAAAACTACTACCGTACTGAGGAATGAAATGTGTTCTTAACCTGGGAGCCGCCTGTGTATGCTGGGGAAATGATAACATTGCTAAACCATTTTGAGGATCTGTTAATATCCCTATAATGCTCTGCGAACCTCACAGTTTTAAAAGTGGCAAGTGATACCCTGACAGTTAGGTGGGTGTTTCTGACTGGCATTGACATGATGGGCCGAAGAGCCTTATACTGTGCTGTAGATCTGGATGACCCTGTGGCTATGACAATTCTCAGGATATCAATGTTAGTTGCTAATATCAGAATAATACACAAGACATATACATGTTCACATACTATCTCAATGATAGCCTGGGAGATCATATCACAATGTAACTGAGGAAATTAATACATACCAGAACGGTCGTCTGGTGCATTCTTAACGTCAGAATGATATTCTGCAGGGTGCATTATTGCAGTGATATCTGAGGGAATGATAATGTTGCAACATGACTCAGAATAAGAGCTCAGCCATTCAGGACTGAGATGAAAAGAAATATCTTCAGGCAAAGAATTATGAATTCTTGGTTTTCTCCACTCAGAAGGTGGTGGGTGCCCTCTCACCCCACCTTGTAGCTACTCTGACCAGATCCCCAGCAGTGATATGCCTCAATTGTCTGTCTGTGTCATCTTCAAGTCTCCATGTCTGTACAGCTCTGTGACACCCATCACACACTATACCTCGGTCACCCCCCACCCCCGCAATTCAACCTGTCCTTCTGTTATCCACCAGAAAAGATCTTTATTGCTTTCCAGCTCTGATCAAATGGTCGAAATACTGATATTTTCTGTTCTGGATGTTGCTTTCGAGACTTCTCCAACTCTTGCAAACTGAAATACCTCTTTAGTTGTCTTACAGTCTATATG